AGTCACAACCATCTCAGTGGCACCAAACAACAACAAATAATAATACTAAATGGGCGAGAGAAAAAGATCCAATAGAAACAGATCAGAAATTAAAAGGATAACATAAAAGAAATGATTCAAAATGAAATATTAAACCAAAAAACTCCACTGACTCAGAGTGACCCCATGCAGGGTCTCCAAGGTTGTAAATCTTTACAGGAGCAGACAACCTCATCTTTTCCCTGAGGAGCAGCTGGTGGCTTTGAACTGCTAACCTTAAGATTAATTTTTTTCGGTGTGTCCATCAGTGGCCTATCAAGTGCTCTAACATATGTGATATTTGTAACTGGAGTCCCACTGGAAGCAGAGGACAGAGAAAATCATTAAAAAAAAAAAAAAAGATTAAGGGCCCAAATTATCTAATTTTGATAAAAATTATCAATCCAAATTCTAAGAGGTTCAACAGACCCAAAGCAGAATGAAATGAAGAAAACTACCCCCAGTCACAGCACAGTAGTTTATGTAAAACCAGTAAAAAAGGAAAAAATCTAAAAAACAGTCAGGCTTAGGAGTGTGGAGGGAAGACATAGAAACACTAGAATGAGAACAGGCGCTTTGTGAGAACTCATAATAGCCTGTTTGCTAATAAAAGCATCACCTTTAAAGTACAGAATAGAAAAACTGCCAACCTAGAATTCTATGCCCAGCAAAACACCTTTCATAAATGAAGAGAAACAAAGGTTTTTTTCAGAGATACAAACAGATTTCTAGCCAAAATGTTCACAGCATTTCCTAATAGTCAAAAACTTGTATGCAAAATTTACCTTAATAACATGCTGACTCATAGCAACCCTGTATAGGATTTCCAAAGCTGTAAATCTTTATGGGAGCAGAAAGCTTCATCTTTCTCCCATGGAGCAGGTAGTAGGTTTGAACTGCTGACCTTGGGGTTAGCAGCCAAGTTCATAACCCACTACGCTACCAGGGCTCCTTAGGTAATATGGAGTCAACTTCAACTCACAGAGACTACACTTGACAGGGTAGACAGAACTGCCCCATAGAATTCTCTAGGCTATACTCTTTATAGGAGCAGATCACCAGGTCTTTCTCATGCAGAGCTCCTGGGTGGGTTCAAACCACCAATGTTTTGGTTAGCAGCCCAGTGCTTAACTACAGTGACACCAGGGTGCCTTTTTAGGTTGTGTCCAGTTTAATGGAATGGAATAGTTTTTTTCTTCATACGTTTGGGGCTCAGTAATCACTAAAAATATTTCCTGTGGAAAAGAGTAACAATTGTTTATCACTTTCTAAAACTTCATTTTACAAGCATTTTTTTCAGGAGAAAGCTACTCTCCTCAGACAACATAAATCCCAACTAAGAGTCGCTCCACTAGACTGAGGCTTCGTATCTCATTGTGATGGAAGACGTCCCATCAAGCAACAGCTGAATTTGGCAAAACAGCATCAGAGGACCCCTGAGAAAGAGAAGGAGAGATGAAAGATACTTACAGGGACTCCTCTCTATCCGAACTGTCTGAAGACTAGAACTCTTTCTGGAATTAGGCTTGGACTTGATGAGCAGCCTGTCCCATATTCCTGGAAAACAAGATACAAGCACATAAATCACTATGCCATAAAACACAGGGGGCCCATCAGCAAACCAACCAAGACCACTCTCAGTCTTGATGGCTCCTCATCCCCTGAGATAGTTTTAAAAAGAGGCACTCTACTTTCCCTCACACCTTGCTTCTCATCATTTAGTTCTTTCCATTTGCCTGCTTCCCCTTTCATAAGCTTGTCGCACACACCTCTGCCCCAAGGCTGTGTTCTAAACTGGAACTTCCGGGATCAGAAATTCATCAGCAGACAGATGTGAGTCTGCAGTACAGAATGGACTGTAAGACACGCCTGTCTGGTTTGTTCTCCTTCCATACAGAAGTTCAGCCTAGACAAGGCAGCCCCTGCCCACCCTTACCCACCTTTCAGGTACATCTCACTGTTCCTCAAATCAACTCAACTCTCCAGACTATCAGAGCTCCTAGAAAAGGATTTGTCTTTCAGAACTCAAGCCTTTGACACTCTATATCCAATACCTGAAATCTACTCACTCTCTGGTACCAAAATCCTGTCCATCCTCAAAACAAAGCTGTCAATCATTTACTGAGCACTTACTACTTCAAACCTACTACTGGCTTAGTATTAAGAACATGGATTCTGGAGCCAGACTGCATGGAATCAAATCCCAGTTTTGCTATTTTCCAGCTTCATGATCTCCAGCAACTTACTTTGTATGATGCACCATGCCTCAGTTTCCTTGCCTATCAATGTAGAGCCTAATCCCTACAGTGGTTGTGAGGATTTAATTAGTTAATTCCTGGAGCACAGTAAACACTATATAAACTTTGGCTATAATTATTATTTTAACTCCTTTACATACTCTCTCAGTTCTTCTCAGACCTTTTCTTGATGCTAATACGAGTCCTGGTGTGGCACTGTGGATTAACGTGTAGGACTGCAAAGTTAATTTCAGATGCAAGGTCAGTGATTCAAGCTCGTCAGCTGCTCCTTGGAAACCCTATACAGGGTCGCTATGGGTTGGAACCAACTCGACAGCAATTAACAACAATATGAGTATTTACTGAGAATTTGCTTAAAACATTATTCATGGTCTCCCTGGTCTTCAAAAATCTGTCACTAATGGTGGTGGTATTAAGTGCCATCAAGTTGGTTCCATCTCACAGCAACCCTATATAGGTTTTCCCAGGCTGTAAATCTTTGCAGGATACCAGAGAGTCTCATCTTCCTTGGGTAGAAATGCTGGTGAGTTTGAATCGCCCACCTTTTGGTTAACAGTCCAGTGCTTATCCAAAAGCACCACCAGGGCGCCTTACATAGATCAGAGTGGTTTAAAATCAGGGAAGTATGGGCTAGGACTCAGCAGTGTTTCCTTCTGTTGTGCATGGGCTTACAACAAGACCAGAGGGACTCCACTGCACTTAACAAGGGAATTGCTCATAGGTTTCCTAGGTTGGAGTCCTGGTGTGGCATTGTAAGAGAAGCACTGGACCAAAAGGTCAGTTTGAACCACCAGATTGGCGGTTCAAATCCACCAGCTGCTCTTTGGAAACCCTATACAGGGTCTCAATGAGTCAGACAACACTTAACAATCTTTATTAGTGTAGTTCACCGGTTCCTTACTCCCATGAGTCACTGGTGGGTTAGAACTGCCCACTTTCTGATGAGCACGCTTAAACACCGCCATTTTCCAAATTTGAAAACTGAATGTAATTAACACTCTTAAAGTTACACACGGGAGAAAAAGGAGGCCGTCTGCTCCATTAAAGGTTCAGTCTGAGACCGGAAGGCACAGTTCTACTCTATCCTATCGGTTGTTGTGAATCAGAATGGACTCCAGGGTGCTGTGTGGGTAGTTTCACGGCTAGTTATTCACGGAGCTGGGATTCGAACCCAAGCTTTTAAATTCCGTGGTATAATGCTTGAAATTCTGTCATTTCTTGTCACTATCTGATGAGGCACTGGACTGCTAACCTCAAGGTTAGCGGTTCAAATCCACCAGGCGCTACTCGAAAACACTCTACAAGGTCGCTATGAGTCGGAGCCCACTATACGGCACTAACAACAAAATTGGGGTGGGGGGGTGGTTATTATCCACAATATGAATTGGACTGCCCCAACCAGCTAACTCCTCCAACCCAGACAGGCAAGGTTCCGGTGCATCCCAGCCTCTAGAGCGGGGGTTTACTGAGGTGCTTAGCTCACACCCCACCTCACTCCACCCCCGTGTTGGCCGGACAGATGGAGCTGCGCCAACTTGGCTCTGGGACCAGGACCCTGTGACCACCCCGCGTCCACTATGGAGGGACTGACGGAGCCCGGCAGCACCCACGAGGTTCTGGGACCCGGACCCTGGTGCTCGGTGATCATCCCGCTTCCGCGATGGCAAGACTGACTGACGGAGCCCCGCAGCACCCACGGGGGTGCTCGCAGGGTGCTGGGCCTGCGCTGGCAGGCGTACACCCTGCCGCACGTGTCCGCCCCACGCCGCCGCCCCTCACCTCCGAGGCCGCCGCTCCCCGCCGCCGCCCCTCACCTCCGAGGCCGCCGCTCCCCGCCGTCAGCAGCTCCTTGGACACTGACACCCCCGAGCAACCCGGGGTGGACGAAGAGCAGCTTGGGCTGGGCGGGAGTTCACCGCGTAACTCCATGCTTCCTGTTGCCTTCCAGTGAGCAGTTTCTAGCCGGATGCAGGAAAGAGTCTAACGTGGAAGGCGGGACCAGAGCCGTCATTGGAGGGAACTCAGCGGTGGGCGGGGCGGCCCGGGTGACACCTGGCGGTGGGACCAGGCTTTTCCCTTAGGAAAAAGGAAGATTGGGACTCTTGCTCCAGTCGTTGGAAAAGGACCTGGCAAGGCCAATTTGACTAACAAAACACGTAAATTCTATCATAAAGAGCATAGATTGGTCAATATTTATTCACTACCAACAGTATGCCCAGACTGCTTCTAGACGTTGGGAGGTTCATAAAAGCAGAAATCTTGAACCAACATTTTTTTTTACTTCTTTCTGAGCAGGGGCTCCAGAGTCAACCACATTAAATCTAGTCCCAGATCAATTATTTGTTACCTGTAACTTTGAGTCTCAGTTTCCATCATCTTTAAAATGGGGATAATAACACATCCTTCACAGAGTTGTCCTGAAGGATAAAAGAGGAAGAGGAGTAAAATATATGTAATGTCACTGGAAGCCACATTGTTGTTATTATCATCATAGTTTGTTGTTGTTCAGTGCCGTTGAGTTAGTTCTGACTCTGCATAAGGTTTCTGATGAGCCGCTGGTAAATTGGATTTGCAGTCCATGCAGTTCAAACCAGTGCTTATCCTACAGGACTACACCAGAACTCCATCATAGTAAGTTAATATAACCAAGTTATAAAAGAAGGGCACAATCAAGGAAAGAAAAGTCAGCCCATCAGGGAAAACTCCTTTCTAGAATAGAAACTCAAAAGGAACCCATGAACAATCTAGTACGCTCGCTGGTGACCACCTGGGTCCACTTGTGAGTGGAAGTGGGGGAAATGCAGCAACGAAGACATGGGCTGAGTTTGGCCGTGTTCCACTGGCACCCATTGACCTTGAGATGAGAGAGAGAAGAGAAAGGATGGACTGGTCTGATGTTTGGAGAATGAGCCGTTGGGCACTGGCTTAGCTCCTAGGGGCTAGGGCTGAAAGTGAAGTAGACAATTAGTCTGAAGTGAAGAGAGATGTGTGTGAACTCCCAAACTTGCAACAACAATTGATCTATCTTGGATGGCTAGTTGACCAGAACTCAAACCGAGGAAGATAAAGATGTTTGATACTGAGAACAAGTGCAAATTGCTATACTTTGATGAACTAGACTTTTGCCTGTGAATACAGTGACTCAAAATTCCAACTGGAAAGGAAGGATTCTTCATATTAAGGGACAACCTCGTTTCCTCAGTGTACTGGGTTGATGGGGATGAGAAGTTTAGATATTGGCTATCAAAAATGGGGGACTACAAAGGCACAAAGTGGCTAGTATACAAGCTTTCATAAGTGTAGTTAGTTGTAGAATGAGGGGGATAAGGTAGAATCCCTGCAGAATCGGTTCCCTCTTTCCTACATGGATCTGGTGAAAAGGATGGCAGATGATGGTGATAGGATTTTATGTCTCAATTGAGAATAATTGTGATCAGGATTAATTGTGATTGTCACAACTGTAATTATAGAAAATGTTTAACTTAAAGGAGGGAGTAGGTAATATTTCATTTCAGGAACAGATGATCCCAGGACCATCAAGAAGGAAGAGCATGAGTGGAGCGTGAAATCCCTACCTAGAAAAGAGGCAAAACAAATATGGCGGCTGTGTGCCTGCAGGCAGGAGGCTGGCTGGCAGAATGTGCCCTTTGGACGTATAAATGAATATATATTTTTTGTTTTGTAAGTGTACATCAAATATTATTGCCTCATTTATTTGTGAAATATACATTATATATTTGTGAAATATACAATGTAAATGAAAAGCCACAGGGAGGAAGTGAAATAAATGTGATTGCAGGGAGGAGATTGCAATCATTGAAATGAAACAAGGTGTATGATTTACTGAATGTAGAGCTGATGATTTTGACTGTAAACCTTCCCCCAATTCAAAATAAAAAGTTAAAAAGAAAAAAAGTAGCACACAAAAAAAGTTGCGAAAAAATGAAAGTAGTTATTGAAGAGGAAAAATAAAAATTAATGTTTTTGTTGTTAGGTACCTTAGAGTTGCCTCTAACTCATAGCGACCCCTACGTAAAACAAAAGGACACTCTGCCTGGTCCAACGCCACCCTCACTATCATTGTTGTTTAGCTGAGTCCAGTGCTGCTGACCTCACTATGTCAATACATCTTGTTGGGGTGTTTCATTTTTTTCCATTACCCTCTCCTTTACTAAGTATGACGTCCTTCTTTAGGGACTTGTCCCACCTACCAAATCCAAAGTATGAGAGATGAAATCTTGCCATCCTGGCTTCTAAGGAACACTCTGGCTGTACTTCTAACAACAAATATTTGGTTGTTGTTCTGGCAGTCCAAGATACTTTTATATTCTTCTCTAACTCTTCTATGGTCTTCCTTATTCATGTATATGAGACAAGTACAAATAACATGGCTTGGGTCAGGCACACTTAGTACTCAAACTGACATCTTTACTCTTAAACTCTTTAAAGAGGTCTTATGCAGTAGATTTCCCTGATGCAATACGTCCTTTCATTTTTTGACTGCTACTTCCATTCATGTTGATGGTAGATGCAAGCAAAATGAAGTTTTTGACACTTCAATCTTTTCTCCAATTATCATGATGTTATTTATTAGTCCAGTGGTGAGGATTTTTTTTTCTTTACATTGAGGTACAAATGAAAGTTGTTGTCTTTGATCGTCACCAAAGTAAAGATTTTAAGCTCTCTTCACTTCCACCTAACAAGGTTGTCTCATCTGCGTATCATAGGCTGTTAATGAGCCTTCCAATCCTGATACCATATTTTTCTTCACAAAATCCATCTTCTCAGATTCCTTGTTCAGTGTACAGATTGAGTAAATGTAAATGAAGACAGCCCTTTCCTAATTTAAAACCATTCAGAACCCCCTTGTTCTGTTCAAATGACTGCCTCTTGATCTATGTACACGTTCCTCATGAGGAAAATTAAGTGTTCTGGAATATCCATTCTTTGTAACGTTATCCATAGTTTGTCATTTCCCCCACAGTTGAAAGAAAGCCTTTGCATAGTCAATAAAGCACAAGTAAACATCTTTTTGGCATTCTCTGATTTCAGCCAAGATCCATCTGACACCTACGATAACTCTTATTCCATGTTCTCTTCTGAATCTGGCTTGAATTTCTGGCAGTTTCCTGTCGGTGTACTGTTGAAGCCATTTAAAAATTATTTTCAGAACAATGTTACTTGCGTGTAATATTAATGATATTGTTCAATGATTTCTGCACATCATTCGGTCACCTTTCTTTGGAATGGGCACAAATCTGGATCTCTTTCAATCAGCTGGCCAGGTAGCTGTCTTCCAAATTTCTTGGCATAGATGAGTGAGTACCTCCAGTGCCTCATCAGTTTTTGGAAATATTTCAATTTGTATTCCATCAATTCCTGGAGCCTTGTTTTTTGTGAAGGCCTTCAGTGCCTCTTGGGCTTCTTCCTCAGTACCATTGGCTCTTGATCATATGCTACCTCTTGAAATGGTTAAACATCAACCATTTCTTTTTGATACAGTATATACTGTATCCATCATCTTTTGATGCTTTCTGCATCATCCAAAGAATCTTTCAATACTGTAAGTTGAGATTGAATTATTTCTTCAGCTCTTTCAGTTTGAGAAATGCTGAGCATGTTCTTCTTTTTTGATTTGCTGGCTCCAAGTCTTTGCACATTTCTTTATAATACTTGACTTTGTCTTCTCAAGTTGCCCTTTGAAATCTTCTGTTCAGCATATTTCTTCTGTTCAGCATATTCAGCATTTTAGCATCTAGCATAGTGGTTACAAGTCAGGCAGCAAACCTCAAGGTCAACAGTTCGAAACTACCACTCATTCTGCAGGAGAAAGATGAGACTTTCTGTTCCCATAAAGATTTATAGCCTCAGAAACCCTATTCAGGGTCGCTATGAGTCAGAACCAACTCCACAGCACACCACCACCACCACACTAGACAGCAAGTTTCAGAGTCTCTTCTGACATTCATTTTGGTCATTTCTTTCTTTCTTGTCTATTTAAATGACCTTTTCCTTTCTACCTGTATGATGTTCCTGATGTCATCCCACAACTCTTCTGGTCTTCGGTCTTCAGTGTCTAATGCATCAAAACTGTTCTTCAGATGATCTCTAAATTCAGGTGGGATATGTTCAAAGTCATATTTGGGCTCTCGTGGACTTGTTTTAATTTTTTTTTCAGTTTCATCCTGAACTTGCATATGAGCAACTGTTCCACAGTTGGCACTTGGTTTTGTTTTGAAAGAGTCCTGGTGTGGCGCTGTGGGATAAAGCACTGGAGCACAATGTCAGTGTGAACCACAAGGCCGGCGGTTCAAACTCACCAGCCACTCCTTGGAAATCCTATACAGGGTTGCTATGAGTCGGAACTGACTTAACAACAACTATTTTACCTAGAATGATAATTAAGTTTTTATGTCAATTTCTCAGTGGTTGTTGTTCTTGTTGTTACGTGTTATTGAGTTGGTTCTGACTTATAACAACCCAATATAGGGTTTCCATGGAGCAGCTGATAGATTTGAACTGACAACCTTGCGGTTCACAGTCCAGTGCTGATCCTACAATGCCACACTAGTGGTTAGGAAGTTGAGATGCAGCTATGGCTGGTGAATTTGAACTGCTGATCTTCCCATTTAAACCGACCTTGAGGTCTAGTGCTTATTCTATGGTACTGCACCAGGACTCCAAGGGTGGGTTGTTGTTGTTGTTAAGTGCTGTCCAGTAGATTCCAACCCATAGAATAGGGTTTCAGAGGAGCAGCTGATGAGCTTGAACCACCGACTTTGCAATTGAAATCAACTTTGCAGTCAAGCACAGTAATCCACAGCGCCACAGCACCAGCCTGATCCAACTTATGGGAGATTCCCAAGGATGTGGCATACAAGCCTTTTATCTTACAAGAGCAAGAAGGAGAGAGATGAGCAGAAATGGAG